CCGCTTTTTTTTTTTTTAATTTTTTTTTTTTTTTTTTTTTTTTTTAAGATTGAGTGGTACACTAATAAATGAGAGTTTGAAATTAGAGGTAATTTATGTTTTATATACAGATTTCAAGACATTTGCTAATTTTGTAGATTCATGTGATTAGCTTCCAAAGGTTACAGATAATAAAGAAATCAGAAATGGTACCTTTCTAAGAATTGCATATTTTTTTAGACACAACTATTAGCACATTGAGAGGGAAACCAAAAGTTACTGTCTCTCTGTGAGCAGCTACTCCTAACCTCACTCCCTCATTACCTAAGCTGTGTGGCTCCCAGGACCAGCATTATGGAGAGAGGGGAGTATGTATTGAGAGGAAATCCTTACTGGACGATTGACTGAAAGTAAATTTAGATAAAATTGAACCTTTTTTCCTGTGGGCATTTTGTTTTTCTTTTGGGTCATTATACATTAGGTATGGCATTGTCAGTGGATACAGACGCTTAGCTCTTTTAAAAAAATTTTATGTGAAGTATTGAAATAGCTCACTTCACTTTAATGGAGTTTGTCTGCCCTTCAGTTGTCTTCAAAGAACACCATTTGCTACCAAAGTAAATCAGTATTTTGAATGTGCTTCTCTTGGTTTTTGTTCCTAGTTCCTGTAAGCATTTCCACCAGAACTTGAGGCAAATCATAAGGAAGCTGTTTCTTTTAAAGTACAAACCACCACCAAAAATCTAAATGTACATACTGCTTTAAGTATTTGGCTGGTTTTTATTTTTTTTCAAAGGTTTACCAAAAAGGCATAACATTGTATGAAGAAAAAAATGTGATGCACTTTCTGTGACTTTGTAAAAGCATTTAATTTACTAACTTGTTAGATCAAATTTTGAATTGAATTCACTGCAAGATTTCTTATTTGTACAATTCTACAGCTTATTTTAAGTATATATGTACTGACCAGTGGTTTCAAAAGCACATTTTAATTATTGAAATAGAAGGAAAGAAAATGCATCTTCAAACATTTTCATTATGAAATCTCACCACACTATTCAATTTGTGTATTGTAGGGTGTTTGTATTTTTGTATTGTATATGGACTTTTTTTTATGTGACAGTTAAACACATCTTTAAAAATATCACAGACAAAAGAAATGATATGATTTCCTTGAAAATTACAATGTTAAATTTGGAGGCAGCTTCAAAAAATTTTATTGGTGGTAATTACTCACTGGGCTTTTTTAAATATCGTAACTTCTGAGAAGCAGCCTGCAGATGTTCTTAACACTTTGTTCACTTACATTTAAGTTTAGTTACCGAGCCCCAAGTAAAACAATGGAAATGTACATAGCACTATTAGTTCTTACATGATTTAATTATATCAAGATACATAAATTTAACTTTTATGTAGGCAAACTGTCCATTTTACTGTTTGTTAAAATAACACACCTCTCCTACATAGTCTTTACTTGACCCAAATGAAATATTAACCTAAGGTCAAGGTGAGGAGAGAGAAACGACTGAGATGAATGTCTTTACTAAAATACCAATAAATTTTGTCAAACTCAGTAGTGTTCTTATTTTCTGTTCTACTTAATTACTTGCTGGGTTTAATTATTTTTTTTATATTAAAAATTTTTATTTAGGATTGGAGATGGCTTAGCTGCTAAGATTGCTGGCTGCTCTTGCAGAGGACCTGGGTTCAGTTCCCAGAACCCGTATGGCCGCTAGCAACCATCTGTAGCTCCAGTTGAGGGAATTTGATGCTTTCTTCTGGTCTCTGTGCATATTGTACAACAAGGGTACACTTATACACATGCAAGTAAAACATACATAAAATAAAAATATTTTATTTGCACGTGGTAGAGTTGGGTGGCACACACATGCTGTTGCAGTTGTGTGGAGGTCAGAGGAACATTTGGGAATTGGTTCTCTCCTACCTCCATGGTGGTCCACCAGATTAAACTCAGCTCATCAAATTTGCTGGCAGGTACTTTTACCTACTGAGCCATTTCACCAGCCTGGATTTGCTTTATTCCTGTTTTCAACAGAGAACTTGAATCAGCTGTTGTGAGTACTGCGTTTACCCAGATTGTTAGCCAAGAAATGGGGATTAAAATGTTCTTAGAGTCAGTTATTGTAGCATTACAGTTATCTCAGGCTGGAAAAGACTTAATCCAAATCCTCTTCCACTGCAGAAAGGTTTATATTTTTGCTAGAGATCAAACTCACTTCCTCAAGTAAACATGCTAGGCCGGGCGTAGTGGTACACGCCTTTAATCCCAGCACTTAAGAGGCAGAGGTAGGCGGATCTTTGTGAGTTTGAGGACAGCTGGGGATACAGGGAGACCCTGTCTCAAAAAGAAAAAAAAAAAAAGCAAGCTGCTCCAGATTAAGGGGGAGGAAGCAAAAATCATTCTTGCCTCTTAAGTGACTTTCTTCAATAATTCAAGAGCTCTTTCTAAGCCTTCATTTTCCTTTCAACTGTCACCCCCCCCCCTTTGATCTGATCATACTTTGGTCTTTTTAGTTTCCTTTCTTAGTCTTAGAATGTTATGTATTTTTTTCTTTTTGTGGGGGGGGTGGATCTTTTTGAAACAGGGTCTCCCTGTAGCCCCAGTTGGCCTAGAACTCATTATGTAGACCAGGCTGGCCTTGAACTCACAGAGATCCACGTGCCTCTACCTCCCAAGTGCTGGGATTAAGCACATATGCCACCACACCAAGCTTTGATCTTATTTTATTAACAAATACATGGTATCAATTTGTTCTGTTACTGATACTTTGTTTTGGGTTGTTTAATGATTGAACCTAGATACTTAGCATGATAGACAAGCACTCTTCACCTGAACCCTGTCCCCAGCTCTGTCAGTGGGTGTTAAGTTTTAAAACGATGGTGTCCTGAGTCCACTTTCTCCATTGCCACACTACTGTGTCTGCCTTTGTAATTGTGTCTGAAGAAATTGAGATTGTATACTGAATTTCATACTTCTGTACCTTAATTAGCAACATTCCAGTGGTTCTTCAAACAATTAGTGTTTGCCACATTCTATTTGCGTCATTCTGTTACTCTTTCTTATGGGTTGCAGACTGTAACCCAAGCTGGCCTCCAGCTGGAGGTCCACCCGCTCCAGCCTCTCAGGTATCTCTCTAGTCTTTGTATACGTATGATTTTGTCCAACAATAAGAAATCTGGCTTTAACCATATGTTCACATATGTTTAATTCTAAACCTATACATCATTTCAGATTTGCTGACCAATTTATTTTTCCATGAAAAACTGGGGCACATTACTAAGTTACATAATTCTTTACTCCCCCTTTCACAATATATTCATTTGTAATATAATTAGTTAAATTTGTTTGGGTAATGGTGCCCCTGGGACCAAGGGTATAGTTAAGTGGGAGAGGGTATACCAAAATGTTCAAGACGTTGAACTCAATCCCAGACACTGAGAGGGAGAGGGGAAGGGTGTGTGCATAGTTGGGGACCTGTCCATCCTTGTTAACTTCTTTGGTAAGTGAAATATTAACATAATTCCAAAAGAACTATACAAAAACAAACCCTTTGATTTCTTAACTTTATCCCCTACTCTCTCTGTCTTACTCTGAGTGCATTCCCTGGAAGTAACCTGAGTCTGGCTTCTCCTTCCCTTATTTCTTTTTACATAAATTGTTCTTCTTTCTCTAACACCTAAGGGAGCACACTACAGTTACTTTCCTTCCTGCTTTCTGGTGCTGAGATTGAACCCAGTACCTAAAGCGTGGTAACCACATGCTTCAGCTAAACAGCATTCCCACCCTAGTTTTGCTTGGATTTTGTTTTATTTTGATGCAGGATTGTACTCAAGCCCAGGCTGACCTGGAACACCAACATGTCCAGCTTGTTAGTCCACTTGTACTGGAAATTGTATCAGTCTGTAGAGATCTTTTGAAAACATCAGGAGTGTTCCTTGAAGGAATGCTTGCCTGGCATGTGCAAGACTCTGGATTCTAAAGTTAGCTCTCTAGAACCATATACATACATATGGCTTCTCACACTGTTATGAGTTACTTTATCTGCAAGCACTGAGGAAATTTCCAATAAATACCTATATTACTTATCTACATAGCAAGTTCCAAGTGAGCTGAGATAACAGGGAGACCCTGTCTCAAAAACTGCTGGGCAAGGTGGTGCATGCCTTAATCCCAGCTCTGGGGAGGCCAAGGAAGGTGGATCTCTGTAAGTCAAGGCCAGCTTGGTCTACATAGTGAGTTCCAGACCAGCTGGGGCTGCAGGGAGATCCTGTCTCAAAACATAAAAACAAAACAGCGCAAAAAACCCCAAAAGTTACCCATTATATCCAAAGTTCTTGCTGAATTCTTCTACTTATATTTTCATCATTAACTCTGAAGAATTTTCTAGGCACTTAAAAGAGGTTTTCTTACCAGGTTTTGGCCCTCATCTAGGCATTGCTCAGTATCCCTAGTACAATGTTAGTAGCTATAGAGGCTATCTTGTCTTATTACTCTTAGTTGAAGTGTTAGCATTGAGTAAAGTACTGGTTTAAGCTAATGTAAACGTTTTATCTTGTTGAACTTTTTAGCTAATTTCTATTAAGGGCTTTTGTCAGGAATAAATGTTGAATTATATCAAAAGGCTGCTTAGCTATGTTTTAACTAAAGAACTCCATGTAAGAACTCTGGTGTAGCCGGGCGTGGTGGTACACACCTTTAATCCCAAAACTCCGGAGGCAGAGGCAGGTGGATCTCTGTAAGTTTAAGGCCAGCCTGGTCTACATAGTGAGTTCCAGGACAGCTGGGACTACAGGGAGACCCTGTCTCAAAAAGACCAAAAAAAAAAAAAAAAAGGAACTCTGGTGTAGCAGAGGTATGAACTGTAGCAAAGACTGCTATCCTTAGAGTAGGGAAAAGGGAACAACTGAACAAGAGAAAATGTGTAATCTTAGGACAGAAGCTGGAGATAGTAGCTCACTTGGTAGAATACTCACCTAGTACACACAAAGCTCTTGGTTTGATCTCCAGCACTGCAGGAATATCAGAAGTTCAAGGGAAAAGGGAGTAAGGAGGTGGCTCAATCAGTAAAGTGCTTGCAAACATGATGACCTGAGTTCCATCCCCAGAACCCACATTTTTAAAAAAAGTTGGGCGCTGGAGAGATGGCTTGGCGTTTATGAACACTGGCTGCTCTTGCAGAAGACCCAAGTTCAAATCCTAGCACCCACATGATGGCTAACAACTGTAACTCCAGTTCCACAGGATCTGTCTTTCACAGGTATAACATGAGTGCGCTTTTGCATACATGGAACCATGACACTCATACACATAAAATATAAATAAGTCAATAAAATTTTTAAAAGCTGGGCATAGTGGCTCATGCTTATAATGTGTAATCAGTAAGAAGCCAACCTATGTATGTGCCTTTGATTTATATCAGAGCAGTACTGAAAGGTCAGTATTTAAATTTTTATTTTATGTGTTTTGAGTGTTTTGCCTGCATGTAAGTGTACCTGTATGTGCAGGGCCCATGGAGGTCAGAAGAAGGCATCAGACACCCTGGAAGTGGAGTTACAGATGATGTTAGCTGTCATGTTGGTGCTAGGAATGGAACCCGAGTCCTCTGGAAGAGCAGCCTGTGCTTTTAACAACTGAGCCATCTCTCCAGCCCCAATATTTAATACAAAGATATGCACATAATTGGGAATCCATATTAAAAAGTAGGATATGCAAACATAATTACCTGATAGGAGAAATGATAGGATATTTGCCTGGGAGATAGAAGTAGGAGGATCAGCAGTTCAGAGTTATCCTTAACTACATAGTGAGTTTTGGGCCAGCATGGGCTACATGAGACTCTGTCTCAAAAAAAAAAAAAAAAAAGAAGAAGGGACAGTGAGATGGCTTAATGGGTAAAGGCACTTGGTGCCAACCAAGCCTGACAACATGAATTCAATCCCTAGAAACCCATATTGGTGAAAGAGAACTAACTCTTGCAAGTTATCCTGTGACATCTTCACTTGCTTTGCAGGATATGAGCAACTGTACACAAAGTCAATAAATTTAATGCCTCCATGGCTAATAAACATAATAAAAAGCTATTCAACTTTATAAGGGAAACAAGAGCACTGTGGGGTAGTACTACATGTCTGATGATGTTGAGTAAGGAATAATTTTTTTTTTTTTTTTTTTTTTTTTTGGTAATTATTAATTTTATTTCATTTATCTATTTTTATTGAGTGTTTACACATTTCACATAACAGTTCTTAATCAAATTTAGAGCCCCTTCCCCATAGGTATGTGCTACCACATCCAGCTCAGCTACTTTTCTTTTTCTTTTCTTTTTTTTTTTTTATTTTTTTAAAAAATTATTTAATAACCACACAATCAGAAGAAGCATTTCATTACAACAGCATTGACATATTCAATAACAATTTCCAGAGCTAAGATGCATCTCCTTCAAAATTGGCTGTAAATTTTTAGGTTTACAGTTGAATTAATACAGTTATACAATATTGTACTCAGTATAAACCCTATAAGACATAAAATTAAATGAGGTTTTAAACTTTAAA